GCACCCGTACCGGACCGGGACCAGCAACGGGATTGCAACCCTCGGTGTTGCGCCCGCACCTCGCTCAGCCAGTGAGCGGCCGGTCTGTATGTGGGATCCGATCCCTCGGCGGGAGCGCCGCCGCGCTCCCAAGCGGCGCACTGTAGCAGTGCGCCACCGGGCTGGCCCTAAAGAACTTTTTAAAGGCCAAAATTTTAAAAAATTACTACTTCTGGGAAGAAGGGAGACACAGGATTATAAAGGCTTAACTAAGGTGGCACATAAGCTTATATTTGATAAGCAGGAGATGTCAGGTAAAAAAGGGAAAACCGCATTTGAGGCTGATGAGCACACAAAAAGGTAGTAAGTTATAAGGTGGGTCATACATGATAAATGAGAAATTTGGTTTGTTAACACAAAATTGTGTATTGTGAGGTTAAAGGAGTAATATATAACTGGAGAAAATAGGTTAAGGTCAGGTTATGAAGAACTGTGTATGCTAAGCAAAAAAAACTTATTCACATGGGTAATGAAGATTTTATGAAGTGGAGTTCAAAAGCAAATGTCTTCTTTTATAAAACAAACTACCACAATTAAAAAATAAAAAAATAAATATTCAGGTTAAATGCCACTTCTACTGCCGGTCTTTCATGACATCCCCAGACTTGATTATACATATCTTTTTGTGTCTTCTGTGCCCTGTGCACATGTCTTTATGACACTGATCACACTGGATTATAATTTTATATTTACTTGTCTATCTGATGAATTAGACTATAAACTCCTTGAGGACAAGGATTGACTTTCTTATACATCCAGCACTTAAACCAGTGTCTGTTTAGATGGTCAAAGATTAATAAATGTGTGTAGAATAAATGAATGATTAATTATGTATAGTGAAAGTGATGGCAGACACCACAGTTTTCAGCTTATCTGTGGGTCATACTATTGTTATCCACAATGAATACTGAAGGCAGGACTATTTTGTTTATCAGGGGAGGATGCTGGCAATATTGAGTACTCTTTTGAATACAATAATAATAAACTACCACTTACTGAGTACCTCTGTGTATTGGGAATATCATAGGTAATTTAAATCTATTAGTACTTATATTAATCCTACAAGGTCTTCTTATTTTTATGTTAACATTATGGTCAATTTATATATGCAAGATTATGTGCTAAGGACGTTAAGTAATTTTTCCAAGGTTCTGCAGTCAGTAAGCAAGCAAAAGGTAATTTAAAATTAGAGCTATTTGATTATAATGAGCCTTATGCTATACCACTCTATGCTCCTTTAGGTAGGTGGAAGGCATCCAGGTGGGAGGCAGTTAGCAATAAATGCCTAAGACTCATGAAGGAGGCTTCAAAGATATTAAATACTTAGCACATAGTTGGTAGCCAAAGTCATGAGAACAGATGTGTCTTCTAGGTACAGCAAATAAGGTAAGATTAGAACAGGACCAAGCATAGTCCTAGGAATCTCAGATACTTAAGTTAGTAGAGAAGGAAGTTATGATATGTTGGTTAAATTTCTTAGGAATCACTACCTGAAAAGTTAATAAAATTATTCTTATTATATTCTACCTATATACTGATTTGGGGCCAACAGCTTCCATGGAAAGTAGCTTGTCTTCTAAATTTATTTCAAAGCTTGGCGTTTTCAACATTATTTCAACATTTGCAAGGAAAAAAAAGATGTGTCTTTTCCAAATATGTGAAAAGTCATTATCTGTTATAAACACTGAAAGGATACGAGTTTCCTTGATTATTACATCTCTTGTGGCTTGGTGGAAAACCATCTGGTAGAAGACATAAATTATCTGACACACAAATTCATCATCTTCTTGTTGAGCTGAAAAGAAACAAAAACTTCAAAAAAAAAAAGAATACTATGTTTACATATCAAATTGAAACACATTGAAGGGAAAAATAGAGAATGAGAAAAAGTAAAAGTGACAAGAAGACAAAAGGAAATAAGTTTAAATTATTTACAATATATGGATTTATAAGTCCAATTAGTTCCAAGTGATCTCCCTTACTAACTTGCCAAAGTACTACTCTCCCAAACTACTTGGGCTAAAAATCTCACAATTCATTACTCTTGTGGTATATACAGTGTTCCTTAATTTAACCCCAAGGATTTTAATCTTGAAAATTCATGTATTTCTTAAAAAGAGTATTACATAGCTTCTGCCTTATGATAATCTCACGTCAGAGAATATCCAAACATAGTAACACACTCTGAGGTGGCTCTGTCAGCTTGCTTTACACATATCTCAGCACTCTCAGTTATAATTACCATGGGACAGCAATTTCCAGGACACAGGTCATTTTGCTTCAACTTTCTCCAGCTCACCACAGAATCTTCATTCTCACTCTGTCAAATACAAAGCCTTTACTTTTAACTCCTAACTACCTCGTCTCTCTTTTAATTATTTCTGATCTGAAAACTTCTGGCTGTGAGCAGGGTATACTGAAGTGAATACTCCAATTAGGAGAAGGAATACTTCAAATATGGGGACATTATCTCTAGACTGCCTATTAAAATGCACTACATTAAAGAACTTAGAAGTCAAATTTATAAAAAACTCAAAAGAGAAAAATGTACAAAAGACTTAAACAGGCACTTCATTTTATTAGCCATACCTAAATGACCAATAAACACAAACAGGTGCTCAACTTCATTAGTCATTTGGGAAATACAAATTAAAACCACAATGAGATAACACTATGAAGTCTACAATGAAAAGAACTGGCAATGCCCAGAGTGGGTGATGTAGAATGACTGAAACTCTTTTACATTGCTGGTAGGACTGAAAGTTGGCACAACTCTAAAAAACAGATTGGCACCATTTACTAAAGCCAAAAATATGCCAACTCTATGATCCAGCCTTTCTACTCCTAGGTATGTATCTAATAGAAATAAGTACATATGTTCATCAAATGAAAGGTTTAAAAATGTTCATATGAACATTATATATAACAGTTCTCCTCCTCTCCCCCTGAAACCAACCCTACTATCCATCAATAGTACAAAGAATAGTGATATATTTATAAAATGGAATACTACATATGGCAATAAAAATGAACAAAGTTCTGTATACAACATAGATGAATTTCACAAATACAGTATAGGACAAAATAAACCCGATTCCATTTATATAACATTCAAAACCAAGCAAAACAAATCTATTGGTGATAAAAGAAAGGGAAGAAACCACTTTTGTGGAGGTAGTAATGAGTGGAATGAGGGAGAAGAGGTATTTCTAGGGTGCTCGTAATATTTTATGTCAGTGATGATAGCAGGGGTGTGCTCACTCAGAAAATTCAGTGAGCTATATACTTGTAATTTGTGTATTTTTCTTTACATATGTTAGACTTCAAAAAGTCTATTAAAATTAACACAAAATGCATATATTTTATTCGTAGTGCAGGAAAGACTGAGATAAGAGTGTCTTCTTCAGGCATCTCACATTAGCATTTTTAATCTTTATACTATTGCTTATTTTTAATGTATAAGATCTTAGAGAACTTGGCCTTAATAAAACATTAGATTTAAATAAATTTTACATGCAACATGGAGAACAGTGAGCCCTGACCCCTTAAGAGCAATGCCATTTGTAGAAGCATTACTTTACATTTTAAGGGGAAGACTCTAGGCCTGCATTGTCCAATATTACAGCTGCAAGGCAATGTAGCTAATTAAATTAAATTAAATTAAAACTTTAGGTTTCTTAGTCCTGACAGCCACATTTCAAGTGCCCAGTAGCTACATGTGTTGGACAGTACAGATAGAGAACATTTTCATCATTGCAGAAAGTTCAGATGACAATACCCTCTGGATCAAGAAGGGAATATGATGTTTAGAATCAGCTTCCCAATGAACCTTCCTACTCAGAAATCAAGATATAAACAGCAGGGTTTACACAAGAGAGAAGCTCCAACTCAAACGAACACAACCAACAGAAAGAAGAATGATAGAATACTAGCTGTTCAAGGCTGGCGAGAGGAGGGCAGTATCTGCAAAACTGGTCCTGAATTGCTTTACAGCAACATTCTTAACTTTGGAACCTAAAGTTCTTTGATATTACTGTAGCCAATCCCAGTTAGTGGTATATTCAATTCATTTTTCTTAACTATATAATTTAAATGTCTATAAGATGATTAATGTAACAAGGTAAATACTATTTCATGATTGCGAACTCTGCATTTTATACTCAAAAATTTAAACAATAACCTGTTTAGACATTAGCATGAAAATAAATTAAGATAATTTACCATTTAGCAATTCAATGAGTGCAGGGATTATCCCAGATTTGGCTAGCAATGCAGCACAAGAGTCATCCATAGATACAGTTCCAATCATTATAACCACTTCTAAAACAAGGTCATCTTCTGCAGCGCCTAGTGAAGTCAAACCATAGAAAGTTTTTACTGAAATTTCCTGATCCAAATCCATTTATATCATCAAATTTCAATGCACATAAAAGATAATTAAAGCTATTAAATCAGGCCCTATGAATACTTGACATGCATATTAATTTGTTTTTTCCAAATTTCCATGTTCACTGATGACAGTCTGCAGTGGTGGAGGGCAGTAGAGAAGCAGAAATAAGTCTTTGAAGATACAACTGAATGACAATTTAGACAAGGAAAATAAAAACTCATTTGGATGCCTCAAAGAACTTTGTGCGCACATACATGTGTGTATGTATATGTATAGGTAGAGGAGAATGGCATTTGGTAATTAAAATAAGACTGGATTATAAAACTCCAAAAAACGACAATAAGAAAGGTAGGATAGGTAAAAGAACTAATATTAAGAAAAGAAATTGTTAAGAGAAAGAGTAGACGCACATAGGAGGAGTCTCAGTGATTACCCTTCTGGGAGAACAGAGCTGTGGGAAGAAATGTTTTGTCCAATATAAAAACAGTCACAAAATACTGCTCTAGCAGCTTATTCATTACAGAAAAAAATAACTTAGTGATTACACAAAAGTAAAATACTTAGCACAGACCTGGTTTTAGTTTATCCTTGAGGTATGGAGCCAACTTGTACTCCTTAAGAACCAATTCCCAGTCTAAATCTGGAATGGTCAAATTTGCAAGAGTTCCCAAACATTCAATCACAAACTCCTCCTCTTCATCATTAGAGATCTGGGCTGCAAGGTCCCCAACATAATCCTGAATAAAACAGAATTTTGATACAAATTTGAAATATTATTTATGAGAAGAACCTATCTAATAATTAAACCTCCCAAAAGAAAAAATAAATATTAAACATGATTTTCTTGTTTTAATAACCTTGACCTAAATTACAAAGAGAACCTGTGGTGAACTGGTTTAAGGCAAAAAGACTATAGCAGGGGTGAAGTGATGGGGATAGGGATCATCAAACAAAAAAAACATTAATTTTCCACACTCAATCGAATCGGTGCTTTGATCAAATATCAGTTGATCTTTCCTGAACCATTTGAATTACCCTCTTATGCGTGAGTTATTACTGCACTCTATTCTATTCCATTGACCTATTGTGGAAAATTTTTTTTAATTTTTAACAGATTTGCTAGAACAAATGGATGTTGTATGGGGGGAAAAATGACCCTCCACCTCTACCTTATTCTATACACGAAAATTAATTCAAGACAGATCACAGATCTAAACATAAATTTCAGAACCATAAAGACTCTAGAAGATGGAAGATATCTTCATGACCTTGGAGTAAGCAAAACTGTCTTGTAAGAAAAACATCTAACAAATAATCTCCACAACAATCCTATGAGGTAGACACTCTTAGGAACATATCTACATTTTTAAAAGATCTCTGCAACCCTCATACACTGCTGATGAGAATGTAAAATGGTACAACCACTTTGGAAAACAATATGGAAGTTCCTCAAAAAGTTAAACAGAGTTACCAAATAACTCATCAATTCCACTCCTAAGAGAAATGAAAACATACACCCACACAAAAAATTGTGCACATATATTTATAGCTGTATTATTCATAATAGCCAAAAAGAAGAAATGTTACCTGTCCTGGACTCAAGGGAAAAAAAATGTAAAAACAACCCAAATGTTGATCAATTGATGAAAGTATAAATGAAATGTGGTTTATACATAAAAAAAAAAAACCAAAAAAAACAAAAAAAACCAAAAAAACCCCCAAAAAACATTAAAACGAAGGTTGAGATTTCTAGCAGCAAAACTTACAAATAAGTTCATTACAGAACAGCCAATTTAGGCCCTAAGTTAGTATCTGACAAGAACTCAATAAGAGTTATATTTCCAGATGTAGCAATTTAAAACCTCAATCCCCAGTCTATTTTAATACACAGAAAGTAAAAAAACTATGCATACAATAAACAAATTTTTAGTTGGTCCATCATGCTGGGAAATGTTTCTAATCATTTTCATTAGCAATGGATCCTTGAACTTCAGAGCCCTCTTCATTAGCATCTTCAGCCCATTTCCTGAAACAGAAAACAGAAAACTCCCCCAATTAAATTAAGGTTAACTTAAATTTAATGATTTTTTTTGTTTGTTTAGTGTTCAAAACAAACAAAAAAAAATTCGAACTATTTCTGTCTGGTAAAATGTATGAATCTTAAGTGTACAATTTAATTTAGATAAATGCAACCTATATTACAGATCAATATACAGAATATGTACATTCACTCTAAAAAGTTCCTTTGTGCCCCTTCCCAGTCAATCCTGTTCCTCAGATACAATCACTTTTCTTCTTTCACCTTCTTTTTCTTCTTTCTAAATATATATTAGTTTTGCCTGTTGTAGAATTTCATATAAGTATAATCATACAGTAGGTGCTCATTTGTGTCTGGCATATACACTGAAAATTTTAAAAACTTTTTTTTTTTTTTTTTTTTGGGGGCAGAAAAATTGTACTTCTAGGAATTTATCCTAAGAATATAAAAATGGAAATGTGTAAAGATTTCGAGAAGGATAGTTACTGCAGTATTGTTTGTAACAGAATATCTAAAGTAATGAAATAGACTATGGCAAAATCCTTTAATGGACTATTTTGCAGCTATTAACAATTATGTTTTATAAAATTATTTAATCACATGAATGATATTTGAGATATTAATTTCAAAAGAACATGTCACAATATATAGCGAGAAGAATTACATTTTTATTGAAAAGAATGCAGAAGTATCCCACCAAAATTTTATCTATGTTCATCTCTGGATGGTAGGAGTAAAGATTTAAATTTTCTCCTATTTGCTCATTTGTACTTTTTATAATAGAAATATATTACTTTAAAAAACAAAAAAAACTATTGAACAGATTGTGAAACATTACAATGTATGACAAGTCATTTTACCAAGATATTATAGAAACAATAACCTAATACATTGGTATTTTATCACTTTACATTGTAGTAAACTGCTTTACAAATAAGTTTCATTCCATCTAGAAAATTTTTTAAAAAATAAAAACAAAAAAAACTACTGAACAGATTGTGAAACATTACAATGTATGACAAGTCATTTTACCAAGATATTATAGAAACAATAACCTAATACATTGGTATTTTATCACCTTACATTGTAGTAAACTGCTTTACAAATAAGTTTCATTCCATCTAGAAAATTTTTTAAAAAATCAAATTTCAATTAAGCCTAAATGACCATGGCTTATAAAGACTTACTGAAGTGTGTCTTTACTCATGACAGGAGAATATTCTGACCTTTAATGATCGAGCTATAATGAAGAAACTATTTAAAAATAGTATTTACATACCCGTTATAATTCTTAATTCCTTATTATCTATTTTCTGTCATGTCAACTACCATATGCTAACAAGGTTACCTATAAAGCTCAAAGGCACTAACCTTCACAGATAAGCTGTACATTCCTCTTGTTAGCAGCAAGATTAACGCAGAAAGAAATGAGTTCGAAGTCAATTCGTTCATCCGAACATTCAAAGAGCATCTTCATCAACTAGCAAGAAGCAAAGGGCATGTTTTACTCAAAAAAACAAAAACAAAAACAACGCCAGAAGTATTTTTTTATAATGTGTTATTTTAGATTGCAAGTTGGAAATAATACATCTCAACACATAAAACTGGTAGGCTTTCACTGTTCAGTAACTGAATGAATAATTAATGAACTAGTAGATGCTCAGCATTAAATATAAACTTCCAAGTACATTGGGGAATATAAGATAAATATTAGACAAAACATCTGCACTTAAGGAATTAAAAATATTGCTTGGAATGCTATGCTTCCAAACAAAGAAAATAGCTTATGCAAAGGTCACAATGCAGGAAAGTACATGACTCTTCAGAAGAACTAAAAGAAAGCAAGCATCATTGAAGAAAGGGAAACAGTCTTGAGAGATAAGAAGGTAAAAGCCAGATCACGTAGACTCTTGAAGTACATGTTAAGGATTTTGGGCTTCGAGGAAGCTATTTAAGCTTCTAAGTAAGAAAGTGTCAGATAAGATTTGTGTCTCAAAAAGATCTGGCCAGTATAGAAAATAGACTGAAATGGGGCAAGAAAATGTGGGAAACCATCTAGGAAGCTACAGGAAAAGTCCAGCCAGGTGAAATGACGGCTGTCTGGACGAGGTAGGGCAATGGGGATGGAGATAAAAGGGTTGAGTAGAGATATATTTAGTAAAGAGAACCAAAATTGGATTTATTAACTGACTAGATGCTGGAGTTAAGGGACAAGAGGAGTAAAAGGTGGTTCCCTGGTTTCTGCACTGAGCAATGGTATAGATGGTGGTGGTAATACCTAACAAAAAAAGGAAATTAGAGTAGGGGAAAACTTTAAAGGGAAGATAGGGAGGTTGGTTATAGGTACATTGATTTTAAGCTGCCTAAGTGATAGTGTAGTGCATATATTCAGTAGGAAGTTATAAATGCAGACCTGAATTTAGAAGAAATGTCTAGACTGCAAGTATAATTTTAGGAACTGTCACATATGATTGATAATTGAAGCTGCAGGCTAGATCCAATCACATGGGCATGGGTATAAAATGAGAAAATAAATCTATTTAATGATAAGAGGAAGGGAAGGAGGGTCTGAAAAGCAGCAGACAAAAAGATAAGAAAGAAAAAGTAGGATACCTATGCCTTTTAGCTGTAATGTAGATTTGTCATGATGAGAGACAGTTGCTACAATAAAAGAAATAAACTTTATGCTATAATTTGGAGAAGCAAGTCTTCTATTATTGATAAATCAGCAAATTAACTTAGCACATATTATGTAAAAATATTTTTCTCTATGTCCACATGGCCAGAAATATATAGAAGTTATTCCCAAAATTTATAACCTAAATATGTCTTATGTTTTATCTCAGAGCAATACCTTTTTAGAACAACATGCCTTCATAAATCCATCACAGTGCCTTCTATATAGTAAGTGGATGATAAATATTTATTTTAGACCCCGTTCTGTTAAATCTTGTTTTGATTACTCTCTGTTAGCTTCAGATAACTTCCGAGTCTCAAAAAGGATACACAGTCAAAACACAAAAATTAATCCTATTTCTGCGTGCTAGCAATGAACAACTGGAAACAACAGTAAAAAACATAATACCACTCCAAATGCTAGGCATAATTCTAACCAAGTATACCGATCTGTATGCTGAAAACTACAAAAAACTGCAGCAGGTGAATGGTTGGCATGTATCATGCCCTTTCAAATGTTGCCATTAATGGAATCTCTAGGTAAAGAATTACTAACCCTTTATAATGCTACATAATAAAAAGGTTCTATGGAAAAAATAAAATAATCTTAATTTACTGGGTAAACGAGGGTACTTCCAAAAGTTCATGGAAAAATAGAGTTAAGATAATACAAATGTTTTCATGAACTTTTGAAAGTACTCTTGCATACTTAACAGATTTTGCTACTTATCTGCCAGTAAAAATTAAATTAAGATTGCCAATAAAAATTAAATTAAAAATTACTAAAAATGTAGGTGATAATCCTCTAATTAACGTAATTAGTATGTTTTTCATACTGAAATTCAAAACCTACTATAGATTTCTACCAAACTTTTAATGATATTGAGAAAATTCTTTATAACAAGAATCTGTTACATTGAAGCAAAGCAAAATATTTATTGTTAACAAAAATCATTTAAATTAAACTTTATAGTATAAAAAATGCTCTTAAAAATGGGGTTACAGGTGATTTGTTTAGAAGGTAAGGATTTTTTTAAAAAAGTAATTTCCATGTTAAATCTTGTGTGGAGCTAGATTTTTAAAAAAATAATGCATGGTTTAAAAATGTACCCAATCCCCATCCCCCAAATCAAAACTTAGTACTAAATATTAATGGAATGTATCATGATATAGAATTAGTTTTTCATAATAAGAAAGTGAAATGCTTCAATTTTAATCAAAGCATTCAAATTTAAAAATAATAGTTTATTTCAAATTCCATGCACAACATTGTCTTTAATGTGATTACTACACATGGCACGTCAAAAGTAAGTGTAATTTCTGACAACTAAGAAATATTAAAACTAGATTTGTTTTGGTTAAACTATATCCATTGTCATCTTTTACTGATTTAATAGGAAAGCACTGAAAGGGCTTCAGCCTGTGCAATGAAGAGGCAATAGTGTTCAATCAGACAAGTCCCATATTGAGTATCAGATACCAAAGACCCACAACTGAAATCACTGTGTCTAGACTCTCTGGCACCTGACTTCACTTATTTACCAGTGACCAGAGGCCAACCCCCACAGCTCTCTGTATTCACATACACCTCTACCACCCCCTCCCCCTAACCAAACATCTTTGAATGATTATGCCAGAACTTTGCACGCCTCAGGAATCTCTTCTGACTGGCTACTCCCTAACTCTCCTGTTTGAAGTGATGCTCTGGTTTCTGAACTTCTGCAGATAATGGCAGGCAAGAGCAAAGGGGGCTGTCAGAAAGGACGTTTACCAGCATTCAGCTAAAAAGAAGCATGTAGATCAAAGAGGGGCCAAATAGGACAACTGCGGTGGAAAACATGTGGATCACTATGAAGATTCTTGCACACTGTTCTAGGGTAAAATATTAAATAACACCATGACATCACTACCTAACCATGCACTTTGATTGGCCATTCTATTACCAATAAATACTTTTATAAGCATCTGGATGGCATTTGCACCTATTTAAACAAAACATACATCTCAGAGGTCTAAATAACAATGAACTGTTAATGTGTACTTTTAACTATTATTGGAATACAACCATTAACTCCTGGTTATCCCCAAGTATGCTTACCTGAAACAATCCACCCACTGAGACCATTAAGATCATGTATAAAGAAATTAGAATTGACTTCGCCCCCAGATTTTGCAGAATAGTGATATAATAGGGAAAAAAATTGGAATACCTTGGATAATTAGAGGCAACAAAGTACAAAGGGAGCAAAGCAATATAATATTGGGATAGATTATGAGGCATGTTGTATATATAATCAGCTACCCTGGATGTTAAATATTTTCTAAAAGTGAACTCTAATTATAGGTTTATTCTAGAAAACACATACAAAAAGGACAGTCTGTAAACTGGATTATAAATTGGTCCAAAATGATGAAAATGACTTACTTTTGTATAGTGATTTATAATTTATTAAGCTCCTTTATATATATTATGTAAGGTAATTAAAGAATATGACCATACGCCATATTTTTTTTGATAATGAAATGAATATAAATTACTCCAAGCCATTGCCTTCCTACCTTTAAAGTAATTTTGGGCTTCTCTTTGAAAAATGTATGTGTAATACCTAAAGACCTTTACTAAACAAAAATTAATGTGCATAATTTCAAAGAGAACAGAATATTACGTTAAGTTTAAGACATTCCAACTCTAGATATGGCTTTTTTAATAGGTAGGTTAATCAGTTGCTGTCACAAATGAGTTCAAAGCCTTATAGCATTACAAACATTTCTTTGAGTAGTCAATAACTCTGCAAGAGTGTTTTTTAATTCCTAAAGGAAACTTATAAATTTCATTTAATGTTTGATTTACTTTCCATGATTCTTTTATTTTGCAATGAACTTGGTACTGGGTAGCAATCAAATCAAATCAATTTTTCCCTAAATATGTCAAAATTAGGCACTGTGAATTGAAGTACAAGTTATAGGCTGGATGGCACTTTAGGAACAAATATATTCCAGAGTATCATTTGGGTTTCACAAAATACTACTTTATACTAAAAAGCTTCAAGAGGCTTACAACATAATTTGGTAAGATAACCTCACTATTCCTATAAAAGCTGAAATTTCAAAAAGAAAAAAAAGGAAAAAACAAACAAACAAAACAGAAAAAACTTTGACCACTGAATGAGTTTGGAAAAATTCTGTTCATGAAATGTAGATTATAAATGTTCTGAAAACTCCACTGCAGACATGTTTGACGTTAAGAAAATTGTCTGGAGAAAACATGCATGAATATTGTTATTGAAAAGAAATGGGAGAACTTTCTACATGAAGTTTTAAATTGCAACAACAATGTCTAAAAAGTTTACTAAACAGGCTCTTATTTCTGGTTCTTTTATTTAAAATAAAGTTTTATATTTTATGTATGAGATTATACATCCTAAAAGAGTAAAATAACTCCATATTCAAAATTCAATGTATACCTTCTCTTTTACTTAATGTTATTCTCTTAAAAAATCTAAATCTGGATAAAAATAGTCAATCTTGCCAAGAATATTATCCTTTTTTGGCTGCTTTCCAATTCATATCCTGTAGTCAATGGAGTTCTGACATTAAATGGGATCAGAAAAGGAACACCCTTTGAAACTGCAAAGCAGAAACCTTTAGAACATATGGAGTGAGACTGCAGTAAATCACCTGTAATCTCCCTTTGACATGGCTACTCTTTTATTGAAAACTTGTTTGACAAAGAGTTTGATTGCACTTTGCATTGGCTACAGTCTGACATGCGTTATCGCTATAAGAAGCCCTGCCTTGTTAGATAAGATGTACTGAATATTCTTTTAGCGATGTCTATTATCTGTAAACCAGTATAGTTAGTTCATCCCCTGATATAAAAGGCTAAGAAATTATCCTTGCGAGATTATCAAATTTTTAATTGCATGTAGGAAATTGTTAAAAATCTTGGAATAACTAATTCAATTTTGGTACTGTTTCACTAATTTGGAATGAATAGAAGGACGGTCCGTTAGAATTAGTAAGAAGAGAAATTATGGTCTATTTTTATTACTTATTAGTTATTTTTCAAGTAATGAGGATGACTTAGTCATGTTTTTCTAAAGTGCTTTTCAAAGTGTTATTTTCATTGTATATTATACATCTTGCAATTTTGCTTCTTCTATTTTAGAAAACTATTTTATAAAAAATAATGTGATATTAAAAGTTAGCGCAACCAGGATTCCAATCATCAGATATTCAAATTAGTTGATCTGGGTTTGGTAGAGACTGATAACACAGCAGTGATTCTATGCATGTAAATTCCCTAAAAGTAAAATCATATATGTATGGAACCTCTACTCTTATAACATAGTCCATGTAAAAAAAAAAAATCAGTAAACTCCTTCAAGATAAACAGATTAAACATATGAAATATATCAAGCAACTGAGTCATAGCAAAAATCTTTCTTGAGAACAGTGCTACAAAAGCAAAAGAATTTTGATGAAGAATTTTCCCATTACAGGATGCAGAGCATTTAAAAGTATCAACCATAAACAAAATTAAAAGGCAAGTGACAAACTTGGGAAGTATTTGTAACATGAGAAAGAGTTAAGATAGCTATTTATCAATTTTATCAAATCTTATCAATAATAAAAATGTTGACATGCCAATGGAAAAATTGGCAAGGGATATGGATGAATAATCTATAACAGAATATGGATAATAAGCACATGAAAAAATGTTCAGCCTCACCAAAATTCATGAAAATGCACATAAAAAGAAGTAATAAAAGAGCACATTTTTAGGGAAATGATAATATCCAGTCTTGTTAAAAGTGAAATGCTAGTTGGAAATATAAACTTATGCCTTCTTACAAGGAAATTTGGCCAAAATGTGTCAAGACACAAGTGTTCACATCTTTCAACCTAGTCATTTTAATTTAGGAATTTAAAGAAAAATTCAGAGATTAGAATAAACATTTACCAGTACAATGTTTATTCCACATCATTTTAATTTGCTTACATATATTTTTATGTGATACATTGGAAAGAAAATCTAAACATACAATTTAACAATATTTAAATTACAGTACATCCATACAATGGGATATTACACACTACTAGAAATAATTTTTGAAGAATGTTCAATGACATGGGAGTATACTTATGATCTATCAAGTATATAAGGCAATATATAAAAATTACATAGACCATATAATTCCAATATATTATTTTTTCAGTATATGGAAAGAAGTGTACCAAATGTTAAATATCCACTTCTGGGGGAAATAGTAAGTTATTTTCATTCTTACACAGTTCTGTACATTCTTAATTTTCTATAACAAATTTATATTATTAATAAGAAGAGAAATTTTTTTTAAGGAAAAGGAGATCTGACAAATCAAGAGAAGAAAGTGAAAAATACATATACTTCTTAAATGTTTTTCTTAAAACACTTAAACCACTTACCTGTGGTATACAGTCAGTGTATGCAAACATTGATTTGAAGCGGTCATCCATGCTTATGTGGTAAAGAACACACATTGCTATTTGTTTGCAGTTTTCATTGCCTAGGAATATAGAATCATTGATAAAGTGGTGAGTGTGTGTGACTGTGTGTGTGTTTATGTGTCTGGCATAACATAATCAAATTAATACACTAAAACTTTTAAAGATTTTGAGCTCTCTTTTTCAAATCAAAAGTTTGGAACATAATCATGTTTATCTGTGAAACATTGCTAATTTCCAAAACAGAATGCCTACTTTTCAAGGTATATTTCTGAAAAAAAAAAAAAGAAAAGAAAAATTAGCCACAATACTGAAAACTCTCATTTTCAGTAGCCCAGTATAAAGTAGATTGGGTCATTGGCCTCCTCACCCTTACTGTTTTATCAAAATATGTGATTAATTCAGTTTTATATTAATCACATATTTTATCAAAACATGTGATTAAGACAGTAATGATGTATAAGAAATAGTGAAAAGATGAAATTCTGTCATTTGCAGCAACATGGATGAACTTAGAAAAAATTATGTTCAGTGAAATAAGCCAGGCACAGATAGATACTGCATGTCCTCATTCATAATTGGGAGATAAAAACAAACAAACAAAAAAAGAAAGAGAGATACAACAATAACAATAATTCTTTGAACTTTCAAAAGGAGAGAATGGAACTGATGTCACCAGAGGTGGAAACGGGGGAGGTAGAGGTGGGGTTAGTGAGAAATTGGTAAAGGGCCACAGAAAATGATTTTGTGGAATGATAAACACAGTAATTAAAAAAAGTATATTTGATTGCTATGAATCAGAAGCTGGAAAAATCATCAAAACGATAAAAGAAGTAGAATAGCACTTGTAACATTTAAAAAAAAAAGACTATAAAAGCTAAAGGCTATTAACTAAGTACAGTCTAAGGAATGTCTCCGAATTTCTGAGATAAGATTACTCCAATTTTGTACACATTGGTACTGAAAAAAAGAAAAGCAAATGGCATATAGTAGATTAGACAAATGAAATGGAACTTTAATATGTCATTTTATCCTTCTACCTGCTTTCAGATCCTATTTATGATCTCAAAGTTGGTGACAAAACTGGAGCTAGTAAAGTTGTTCAGTGTATTCAAAAAATAATATGCTTTTTGAAAATTCTGGGCTATGAGAAATCCTTGAAGACATTTTGAATTTTAAAAAATCAAGCATGTAAGTGAATTTAGTTGATAAATAATAGACCAAAAAGATTTTAAATATATTTCAACATGGAGGATACATTCAGAACCTTTAACCTTGTGTTTACCACAGTATAAAATTATTAAAATACTTAGTGTTCTTTTAGATATTTTTGTTTTTATATTCTTACTGAATTTTTTCACATCAGGCATATCTTCTTAAAGTAGTTAGAAATTCTTTAGAGGACAGAAACTTTGGTATTCTCACAAATCTAAGTACAGAACATGAAAGTTGCTCAATAAATATCTCTGATTAATTCTATTTTTAATATTTACAGGTGAAAATTGAAGAAATAAACACATTTAATCAAAGAAATCACTAGTTCTACAAGAGCTTCATATTTGAGACAAAAGTATTTTAAGGAGTTTCAGGAGGTCTTTTAAAAGTAAGTAAAACATATAGTGATCCTTTATCTCACAACTTTACTTTGTACTTGCTTATCACCTGATATACGAGTATTTTCATCTAACATAAGCTCCAGGAAAGCAAGAACTTTATTCACTGCATTATTTCCAGCCCTAAGAATAGAAACTTGCACAAAGTAGATACTTAATAAATAATTGTTGATTGGCTGATAATAATCATTTATTAAGCATTTACCACATATCAAGAGTCATATAGACTACACGGCACTGAATCTTCAAAACAATCTGTCAAATAGGTCTTATCATCCCTACGTTTCAGATGGGGAATCTAAAGCTTAGAGAAAAATAAACACTTGCCACAAAGTATTGGTTGCAATCAACCACCATAAGTTGTTGAGCAAGTTGAAGGCATTCATTTACACTTATTCTAGTAAAAAGCACACTTGCCATAGGAAAACATAAGTTTATATGGGTTTCATGATATGCAGATGAAAAACAAAAAATTGCAACTTTATTCCCAAAGGAGGTAAGCATTCCTTAGGTTTTGGTCCTACTGTACTTCACAGTATTCATTTTTTTTTCCTTAGGGACTGAGGATACTTTTAAATCTTTTCAAATGAAGTCCTAAAGCAAACTCCTATATTCTGAAGGCAAGTCTTTCTTCCCCTGCTATTCTAGTTATTTTCTATCAGTCATTCAGCTGTGGGTAAGTTCTAGTCTTACATATTTTTTACAAAATATTACTTGAAGATATTTTCTCTGTGTAATGGATTCACTGAAAAGTATGATTCCAAATTTCTCAACTTACTAAATGGTAAAAGAAAAAGAGAAATCAATAACAAATATAAAAGATCCTTCAACATCAAAGTAAATAATCAAACAATAACATTCAACGTGGGGCCAGGAATGATATAGAAAGCTATTCTATGCTCCAGGAGACTGCCTGCTGGTGTCAATGAAAGGATTCTAAAAAGCAGTACCTTTAGATGGTACATCATTCATGCAAGGGGAAAGGAAAGACTGACTTGCCTTTAAGAGATATGTACTCCATTAAAAGGGTAACAAGAAAGGTCCTCCAGAGTTAATAATATATACAGCTTTCAAAGGGTATGTGTTAATAGAAAGTATTAAGAAGAATCCTAAAACTATAATGATTTCTCATAAGTAGATGAAAAACATATAAGAAAGAGATGTCAGACATAAAATTAATTTATATTACTTCTACACAACAAAACTAAATGTCTAGTTTCAACAAGCAGGATGATTCATTCCACAGCCAGTCTTAATTCTACTCTTGTGTGCTTTCTTTCTCCTTTTCTCTTTGTTCTCATGACCAAAGGTGAAAGCTCCTTGCAGTTCTCCCATACCTTTTCTAATTCTTCTCTATGTGTTTTCCTCCATTAACAAACAAACAAAAACAAAACAAAAGAAAACAAACCTCTGAACATGTCCCTAATTTCCTATAAGAGTTATCTAAAATGATTAACATACCTACAAGTTTGCTGAAAACTAAAGGACTGAAGAAAGCAGAAGCTCTAAGGACACAGAGCAATGAACAATCAATCTTTCAAACAACACAATTCTTTGAGAAAAGGGGAGAGAAAGAATTAAACAAAAAATGGTATTGTTCCCATTACATGTTCAGCATATATTTTTTCATTTACCCCTTATAACAATTGAAGAGATAGGTATTACCTTTGATTTAGAGATGAGGCAATGTTATTCACTAAGGAAATACAGGTATAAATCTGGTATTCAAACCGAGGTCTGACTATAAAGCTCATGAATCTACTTTCCACTAAGACTTCCAGGAGGCAGCAGAGTCAAATCAATAATGCCAAATAAATATAAATTATCATCATCATTCCTTAGGGCACAATACAGGAAGAACATGCACCTAGAAAAGACTCCGTAGGATCTCTTGGATCTGGGACTCTTTGGAGGAGAAGTTGAGAAAATTGGTAGTGGAGAAGAAGAGAGGAGATGAAATATAGAAATGCAATTGGATATTTCTCAGAAGACCTGTTCCCACATACATTAGGACCCAATGGATAAAGGAAGTTCTTGACAGAGGCAAATTGCATTATCCCCTAAGCAACTTTGGGAACTAGACCTATAGCAGCTTAAGCTCTGAAACTCACTTTCACTAAATTGGACAATAACGACTATCAATCAGTGATTTTATGAGAAAAACAAGGTGCTATATGCTTAAAAAGTAGGTAGAGTGGTAGAAAGAAGCAGTTGGCACTGTGGTTAAAAGCTCAGGCTCTGGAGGCAGACTGCTTGGATTCAATTTGTGGCTCTGCCACTCATTAGCTATTTGGCCTTGTGAATATTAAGTTCTGTGCTTCAGTTTCTTCATCTATAAAAATGGGATAATAACTGTACCTACCTCAAAAGGTTGTTACATGAGGATTAGGTGAGAGACTCATGGTAAAGCAATTAGCACCGAGTCTGACACAATGAACAAATTCAATAAATACAATTTCTTATTATCATCATCATGTTGATAATAACATTTCTTGTTTTACATGTGTTCCTAATATATATACTGCTTTGTGTTTTTCTATCTTCAAGACTAGAACTGTAGTTAACAATAAAGTAGGTTTGAGAGGCAGCCAAAATTTGTCTAAGATGAGCTAGACAAGGTTCAGAGGTATACTTTCAGCTTGTGGCTGAGCCACTTGTCCTTCCACCTAGTTATTTTCCTATAAAACTCTGCTTAGAAGAGTCATCTTACACCCGGGACTCCACTCAGTGACCTGTGTCTAATACCTGTCATCATTCTCTCATTTTTATAGTTATGAATTCCTTAATGAAAAAAAAAAAGAAAACCTTGAGAAAAGAAAATGACCCCCTCTCCACCCCCCACACACATTGTGACTCTCTCATCCTTCTTCCATGCCTCCTTATTTATAATGGAACTTACTTTCACTCCTAGAGTGGACAATGGTAATGGAGGTGTTGAGCTACCATGTAGATGAAAGGACAAGAGAAAAGTCCAAGAACATTGAAGACAAACCTCACAATTAACTACCCTGCTTCATTTACCTTTAAACAGCATGTTCTAAACAAATAAAACCGATATAAGCAGAGGTGTTTTCCCCCATATTTAGGCCAAGCACAACCGAACAAAAGAAACTGGAATACAACTAGTGCTGCAAAAGAGATCTTTTTTCCCTGAGGAAAGAATGCGAATGGAGGTGAGGACAGATCTAAGGGACTATAATATCTGAAGACAAACCTCACAATTAACTACCCTGCTTCATTTACCTTTAAACAGCATGTTCTAAACAAATAAAACCGATATAAGCAGAGGTGTTTCCCCCCATATTTAGGCCAAGCACAACCGAACAAAAGAAACTGGAATACAACTAGTGCTGCAAAAGAGTTCTTTTTTCCCTGAGGAAAGAATGCGAATGGAGGTGAGGACAGATCTAAGGGACTATAATATTTTATTCAAAGGTCTATCTAACCCA